TTTCACCCACGGCAAGCGATAAGCCAACAGCTTCCGGTCCGGGTTTCGCCAGCGCCAGCGCATTCGGTTCCCTCGGAAGCTGTTATACCAACAGCAGCCTTCTCCAAGCGTCACCTGAGAGGACAAAGGTCAGAGGTCATTGGTTATAGTACAGTAATACGTAGCAGCAAACATCCACTTGTCAGTTTGTTTTATTAGTGTTGGTACATTACTATATAATAAACAGGATTAAATTAAGAGCTCCATCACCAACACCCCAATCGTTTCGTATCTTTTAAAATTACACTTTGCAGTTCCCTCACATTGGAACCCACTTCTAACAACCTCAGCCTTCCTGTCCCCCAATTAGTGACAGATCATTGCTCACATCTCAATAAGTCCCCCTTTGTGCATGTGGACTCGTTGGCCTTTATTACACTCGTTACCTGTTTGTTTACCTGTCCCTCATGCCCCAACCTTTAAAGCCTGTCTTTTCTTCATTTTGTTTCTAATTAACAAGTAACTCCTGTGCCTCCCTTTGGCTGCTCCCCTCAGCCCATGACAGAGCGGATGTATCTTCTTCAGTGCAGGAAGCAAAGCCGGGCTCAGAAGCCACAGGACAGGAGAGTCTGATCTCAGCACGAACACTCTGTTCGGTTTGAGTCCAAAACCCACATGGGGTTTGTTGACTAAGTAGAAGCAAAAACTTTTAACTGAAGCCCTGCATTTTACCCTTAGTGACCTTTTCTACCAGGCTACACACACTCACTTCGAGATGTCTCACATGCTTGCTGAACGTGCCCCTCAGGGACCACTGGATTTCCTACTCGGGATCATATCGCGAGTCTCCCGTTCCAATCAGCCTCGGCTCCGTTCTTGCACCTCATACTCCAGAGCTTCCTATCCTACACCAGGACTGAAACCGTCATTGACTCCATTCCTATCCGACTTGAAAGTTTCTGCCTCCTTCTCACAGGGCTGTTACGCGTGTTTCAGCATTGTAAATCGAGCCGCCTCTCATTGCCTCGAATATGCACGGTATAGATGGCTAACGCTAACAACATTCAAAACTTACAACTACTGAGTCTTTGTAACTGTGCCTTGTGTGTGTTTGTCGTTGTGTAAGTTGTGTGTGCGTGTGGTCTGTGTGGTGTTGATGTCGTGTGCTGTGTGTGTACTCTCACATGACTCTTCCCTCCCCTATCTGCCAACATCAACTCTCATTCATGTTCATTCACTCGTTAATCTTCTGCAGCTGTAGTGTTTGTCTGATGCGACCTGAGCATCTCGACATTCAACGGGATTAGAAACAAGGAACTACAGTTAGCCAGAATAGAAACAGCAATAGCAGCTAGCTCGAATTTAAGAACAGAATAGAAAATATAAATCAAATAGAATATATCATCAGTCTGAACCCATCTTGTAAGAACAGTCGTTACAAATGTTTTTTTTTACCAGATCAGCATTCTAACAACCTTCTCGACCCTGCGACAGCACTCAGTCTATGCAGTGTTTTATCCCTCAGTCACTTCCTGTTTCTTCTTAGTTTGGATTTCGCAATTCTTCTGAGGTTTGTCGGTCACGATTAAGTCAAACTGATGAAACTACATTAGGAGATCAGATCATCAGACTGATCTTTATCTAAAGTCGTTCTCTCCAGCGATTCACACTCACTCCACACATAGTATCACTGACTCAGCAATAGAGGAAACAACTATCGTTCCTGTTTCATCTGGCAGCTCCAGCCACTGTGCGGCTTCTACGATAACTCAGGTTGGATATTTACTTTTTATCAGCTTGATCATGTAAAGCAAACATAACAACAACAACAACAACAACAACAGCATCAGGGAGGGTTTAGTTGAACAAGTCGAGCGTGAGAGAGCGTGCGTGGCTGCCACGACATGCATAGTTTATCAGTTTAACATTTTAAAGTAAAATTTCCTCATCTGATCACCTGGTCTCTCCCCCCCCCCCCCCGCTACCTGTGTGCCTCCACTGCGTAGTGCCGATAGTTAGGGGGTGTGATGTGGAGCATCCTGTCCTACTACACAATCTTTAAACCTCAACCGCTGTTGGTTCTATATGCCAAACAACAGACAGGCCAGTGGCAGGATCTCACTCGGAGCCTGACCGCTGTCTACGCTCTCCCAGACGTCATAACGGGACCAGCAGCTCCTGTTTGGCTCACGCTTCACTTAAACAGAGGCGCTCGTCGATAACATACTACGCCGGAAGTGAAGCTGGTTTCACTCACCAGAGAATAAACATGAACTCATCTCAAGCTCTCCTCGAGGAACCTCTTCAACAAACGCTTTCAACACTAGTTTGTGCTCGAAATACTCCATAAATTCACAAAAAAAAACAAGAGTCTCTATTAATTAAACTAGAAGGAAAAGAATGCCTTCTCTGTCTCTCTCTCCACTCAGATTTACCTTGTGCTCTTTTTGTGGTTCCCTCGACCCTCAGGTTGGATAACCACGACACTTCCGAGCACAAGAAACACACCGAGGGACTATTGGGGCTATTGTTACATAACACACACACACCCACACACCACACACACACACACACACAACACACACACACAAACACACACACAACACACACCACACAAACTTGACCTACACAGATTTTTGAATGTGGACAGACGGTATAGCCCTGCAGGAACACATGGACGGACCAACCGGACAGACCGACGCTTCTATGTGCGTATCTGTTACTTCTGTTTCCACCCTGAACTTCCTAGGTCTACAGTCAGACCAGGTTAACCCAAGCCTTTCTGACGACGTCCTCAGGTGTTCTGGTTTCTTGCAGGTGTGAGAAACCTTGAGGTGAGGTACGAGGACTCTGGGGCGTTAGTGGATCCGATTAAGTTTCAGTCTGAAACACGAAGACCAAATAGATCTGGATCCTATTACTTGTGTTTGACCGTGAGTCAGCTGTCAACCACTGCCTGATCACGTCTGATCACTGATACCTACTTGAATCCACACAGCTGGAACCCTTATTTGAATGTCATTAATTCAGACTTGATTAAATAACACTTCCAGTTTCGTGTTTGGTTTTGCTGTTACTAGGAAGTCGGACTTTCGACGCTTGTTTACTGTCTTCTGTATCAACAACGATTACTGCAGACTCGATTGCATCATCAAGATTATCATTATTCATCAGGCCAACCACTGGATGTTATTAATTTTTATTTATTGTTACTCAAATGATTTCATTCGACTTATAGATGAATTTATAATTCGATAGATAATATTAATGATGTGTCAGGTTTCAGCTAGGTTCATTCTGCATCAAATTCTGAGTCTGGGATTCTTGAAAATGCAGGCTGATCTGTCGTCTTTATGTTTCCAGCATGAAAGAGACAAACTGAAACACACAGAGAGCATCTGCTGCGTGCTCTTCAGTGTGTGGTGTGTTGTCGGTGCTTGCGTTGGTGTGCTGTGTTGTGTTGGGAATAATGCTAACACACAGATATGAAGAGCAGTCAGCTTTGTTAGTCGGTGGTTGGGTGATGTGTGTGTGTGTTCGTGTATGTGTGGCGTGAGCTGCAATGTGAAGCTGAAACACTACTTAATAGAACTGCTATTTAGGTGAAAGTTCGTCTGTCCATTCGACTGTAGTCATGTAACAAGAGAAACCTGACAGTGACAGAAGAGACACGATGAATGACGTCTCAGAGACGATCGGACAGAGGAAGAGACTGAGGACAAGGAATGAGTATCTGGAGGACAGATGGAAAGCAATGAGGAAGAGGTAGAGACTGAGGACAAGAAAGGACTGAGGACGAGAATGAGACTAGACAGAGAGGAATGTGAGGACAGCAGGAAGAGAGTGAGGACAGAGGAAAGAGACTGAGGACAGAGGAATGAGACGTGAGGACAGAGGAAGAGGATGAGGACAAATGTTAAGAGGATGAGGACAGTGATTAGAGAGTGAGGACAGAGAAGAGACTGAGGACAGTACGGAAGAGAAGTGCAGGACAGAGGAAAAAAAAAAGTCAAATAACCTCCTGACTTTGTCCTTTGTCCACACATGTCCTCCAACACTGTCCTCACTCTCTAACACTGTCCTCACTCTCTAACATTGTCCTCACTCTCTAACTCTGTCCTCAGTCTCTTCCTCTGTCCTCAGTCTCTTCCTCTGTCCTCACTCTCTTCCTCTGTCCTCACTCTCTTCCTCTGTCCTCAGTCTCTTCCTCTGTCCTCAGTCTCTTCCTCTGTCCTCAGTCTCTTCCTCTGTCCTCGTCTCTGAGACGTCTTCATCGTGTCTCTTCTGTCACTGTGGTGTTTCCTGTTACAGTCGATGGAAAAGAGCTTCACATAAATACAGTTCTATTATAAGTGTTTCAGCTTCACTGCAGGCTGCACACACACACACACACACACACACACACATACACACACACACACACACACAAGCTGCTGCTTTCATTCTGCTGTGTTAGCATATTCCACACACACACACACACACACACACACACACACACACTGAGGCACGCAGCAGATCTCTGCTGTGTTTTCAGTTTGTTCTCTTCAGCTGGAAACAATAAAGAACCAGATCAGCTGCATTTTCAGATCCCAGATCAGATTTGATGAGAAATGAACCTGAGCTGAAACATGACATCATCATTATAATTAATCTATAATCAATTATTAATTCATCTATAATCAATGAATCATTTGATACCAGAAAATAAAAATAATAACATCCAGGGTTGGACCTGTGAATAATGATAATCTTGATGATTGATCGATCTGCAGATCGTTTGTTGGATGAAACACGAGACAGTAAACAAGCGTCAAAGATCCACTTCCTGTAACAGAAACAAACAGGAAACTGATGTTTTTAATCAGCTGATTAATGAATTAATGTTCCAGCTGTGTGATCAGTAGGTGATCAGCAGGTGATCAGCAGGTGATCAGCTGACTCACAGGTCAACACAAGTATGGATCCAGATCTATTTGGTCTCTGTTCAGACTGAAACTGATCTGGATCCAAACAACGACCCAGAGTCCTCTGTCCTCCCTCAGGTCTCACACCTGCAGAACCCAGAACACCTGAGGACGTCTGTCAGAGGCTGGGTTACCTGGTCTGACTGTAGACCTGAAGGTTCAGTGAAACAGAAGTAACAGACGCACTGAGCGTCCGGTCTGTCCGGTTGGTCCTGTCCATGTGTTCCTGCAGGGCTTCCGTCTGTCACATTCAAAATCTGTGTGTGTGTGTGTGTGTGTGTGTGTGTGTGTGTGTGTGTGTGTGTGTGTGTGTGTGTGTGTGTGTGTGTGTGTGTGTTATGTAAACAATAGCCCATAGTCCTCGTGTGTTTCTTGTGCTCGGAGGTCGTGGTTTCCAACCTGAGGGTCAGGAACCACAAAAAGGTCACAAGGTAAATCTGAGGGAAAAAGAGAGAGACAGAAACATTCTTCCTTCTAGTTTATTCTAGAGACTCTTGTTTTTTTTGTGAATTTATGGAGTTCGACACAAACTGAGTTGAAGCGTTTGTTGGAGGTTCCTCAGTCTGACGCTGGACGGATGAATTCATGTTAATTCTCTGGAGTGAAACCAGCTCTCCGGCGTCACGACGAGCGGCCTCTGTTTAATGAAGCGTGACCAAACAGGAGCTGCTGGTCCCGTGACGTCTGGGAAGAGCGACAGCGTCAGGCTCCGGTGGATCCTGCTGCCTGTCCTGTTTGTTGGCATAAGAACCACAGCGTTGAGTAAAGATTGTGTAGTAGTGACAGGATGCTCCACTCCACCCCCTCACACAGGTGAGCGGAGACGCAGGTGATCAGATGAGAAAACTTTAAAAATGTTAAACTGATAAACTACATGTTCGTCCAGAAGGAGTTTATGGTGACTTGTTCACAAACCCTCCCTGCTGCTGTTGTTGTTGTTGTTGTTGTTGTTTACATGATCAGCTGATAAAAGTAAATATCAACTGGTTATCGTAGAAGCCGACAGTGGCTGGAGCTCCAGATGAAACAGGAAGTAGTTGTTTCTCCTGAGGGTCTGTGAGTCAGTGATACAGTGTGAGTGAGTGTGAATGTGAGAGACGACTGTTAGATAAAGTCAGCTGATGATTCATCCTGATGTGTTTCATCAGTTTGACTTTAATGTGACACAAACTCAGAGAATGGAAATCCAAATAGAAGAACAGGAAGTGACTGAGGGATAAAACACTGAATGACTGAGTGTGTCGCAGGTCGAGAAGGTTGTTGATGCTGCTGTAAAAACATTTGTAACCTGTTCTTCAAGATGGGTTCAAACTATTCTGTTCTATTCTATTTGATTATCTTCTATTCTGTTCTATTCTATTCTACTCTATTCTGTTCTATTCTGCTCTGTTCTGTTCTATCCCGTTGAAGTGTGCTCAGTCTCATCAGACAAACACTCAGCTCAGAGATTAAACGAGTGAAAACATGAATAGAGTTTGTTGCAGAAGGAGGGAGAGTCATGTGAGAGGACACACACACACACACACACACACACACACACACACACACACACACACACACACACACACATGCACAGTACAGACTCAGTGTTGTAGTTTGATGTTGTTAGCTTAGCATCTAACTGCACAGCACAGCAATGAAGGCGGCTGATTACATGCTAACACGCTAACAGCCCTGAGGAGAGAAAACTTTCAGTCGGATAGGAAGTGAGTCAAGTTCAGTCTGGTGTAGAGGCTGAGACACTGATGGACTAAGCAACAATCTGATTGGACGGGAGACTCGTTATGCTCGAGTGGAAATCCAGTGTCCTGAGGGCACGTTAGCAGCATGGAGCATGAAGTGAGTGTGTGTGCTGTAAAAAGGTCACTGTAAAATCAGGCTCAGTTAAAGTTTCTTCTCGTCAACAAACCCCATGTTTGGACTCAAACCGACAGAGTGTTCGTGCTGAGTCAGACTCTCCTGTCTGTGGCTCTGAGCCGGCTGCTTCCTGCACTGATACACCGCTCTGTCATGGCTGAGGGGAGCAGCACAGGGAGGACAGGAGTTACTTTAATAGAACAAATGAAGAAGACAGGCTTAAAGGTGGGCTGGGACAGGTAACAACAGGTAACAGGTAATAAAGGCACGAGTCCACAGCACAAAGGGGGACTTATTGAGATGTGAGCAATGATCTGTCCACTAATGGGGGACAGGGGCTGAGGTTGTAGAAGTGGTTCCATGTGAGGGAACTCAAAGTGTATTTAAAAGATACGAACGATTGGGGTGTTGGTGATGGAGCTCTTAAGTTTAATCCTGTTATTATATAGTATGTACCACACTAATAACAAACTGACAAGTGGATGTTGATGCTACCAGTGTCTGACTATAACCAATGACCTCTGACCTTTGTCCTCCAGGTGACCTTGGAGAAGGTGCTTGGTATAACAGCTCCAGGGAACCGAGCGCTGGCCTGCGACCCCCGGACCGGACTGTTGGCTTATCCTGCTGGGTGAGTACCACCGATCCTGTCACTACCCAGTGAAATCAGCTGAAGTGGAATGTAATCACTGAAAACAGCTGGACCAAACTAAACAAGTCGAAGCATCTGTTGAAGTTTAACATTAAATGTGTGATAGATGGAAAAAATACAGAATAAAAGTGTGCGAAGTGCTGAAATGACCTGAAGTGTGCTGAGAAGAGTTGAACTTTTAGTGGAAGTGTACACCCTGAAAGAGTTAACATTTGACTTTCAGTTGAAGCGTATTCAGTAAAAGCAGTGGAAATGTTAGATATTGAAATAGGCTAAAATCTACTAAAAGGAGTTGAAGTGGAAACTGAAGGAAGGTAAAATGTGAGTTAGAATGGAATCAGTGAAAGGACTGGACTCTCAGTTGAACTGTGGTCAATGAAAGCAGTGGAAGTGTTAGATGAGCTAAAATGTACCAAAAGGAGTTGAAGTGGAAACTGAAGGAAGTCCAAGTGTGAGCTAGAATTGAGTCAGTGAAAGTATAAATCTGAGAGCAGTTGAAGTTTGAGTGGTGAAATGAGATGAAGTGGAGGCCACTGTTGAAGTCTGTTGGCTGAAGGGAATTAAAGTGTACAATATGGCGAGTAGTAGTGAGTAGTGTGTGTGTGGATTACCTGAACTCGAACACAAAGGAACAACAAACACATTGAAATAAATATGTAATTGTTCTCAGCTAAACCTGTCGTCTCCCATAGCAATGTCAACACTGTGTCTGGTTGGTGTTTGTGTTGGTATCGGTTACTAGTAAAACTAACCTGTTACCTAACGTTAACCCATTAAGGTGACAAAGTACATTTTTTGAATTTATTATTATATGTTACTTTAGCCACCATGTTTTATACTGGTGTTAGTTCAGTCGAGGTATCATTCAACAAACTCTCTTAGCTGGCTAACGTAACTTAATTCAGTACACAACGATCTACGTAGGTTAGCAAGGTTAGCGATGTCGTTAGTTGTGAGAAACGCTCCATTAGTTATATGATCCTGTGATATATTTAATCGATATTACTCTGTAGAGTCCATGTGTTGTATAATGATGTGAGCACTGAGAGTTGCTGTGTGTTTACAGTCGATCTGATTGTCTTCACACAGAGGATTAAACTCTGTGTCTGACTGCTAAAGACTTTAAAGGCTAACGACATGATCAGATTATCAGATTAAACAGGCAACACACACACACATACATACAGAGCGGTCCATGAGGATCCATGGTACTGATACTTACCACGAGACACCCGTCTGCTGCCGGTCTTTCTTTGAAGGGTTCTTCCCTGAACGAGGCACTGAATCCACAACTATCTCATTAACTCTAACTCATTTCATTTACTTTCTCAGGCGTCTGTCACATGTGGTGTAAAACGTAGGGGTGCCTCAGAGGGATTTAGGGTTCTTGACAAAGTGTTTGGGGGTCACATGGGTCTCTGGAGGTTCCTGGAGTTGTTGAGGAGTGAATGAAGGCCGAATCTATGGTCTTTGAGTGGGTTCTGGGAGTCTGTGTTTGTGTTTCAGGGGTGTTTCAGAGAGCGATGGTGAAGGATGTTAAGGGCATTTGAAGGGACATCATTGGTTTGTCAAGGGTACCAAAGGGGGTTGTAGAAGTCTTGAAGTTTCTGGGCTTATTCAAGACTTCCTGTGACCTTTAGGGGTTCACATCAGCCTGAGTTTGGTCAGCAGTTCTTTTAGCAGTCTCTGTGTTTGTTGTCAAGGATTGTTTCAGAGGCTCTAGGCGTTCTTCAGAGAGTTTTTGTGGTCTTTAAAGGCAGCACATGGCCTGACGGGTTCCTAAGAGTTATTGGGCCTCAGCGGTCTTTGAGGGGATGGGGTCCAAGGGTGTTTTGGACAGTCCAAGGATCCCATATTAGAATTTTCAGCAGCTCTTGAAGAGTTGTAGTGGTCTTGAGGTGGTCACTTGGGCCGGACAGAAGTTTCAGGAGTTCTTCAGGTATGCTCTTTAGTTTTTGAGGAAATTTCAGGGGTGTTTTGGGGGGTCCAGGATCACTTGGGGGTTCATGGAGTTCTCTAAGGGTGTCCGGTGGTCTTCGAGGATGTTTCAGGACTGTTTTAGGGGGTTTGAGATGTTTCTTCTGAAGGATTTACTTAAGGGTTCTTGAAAGGGTTTGGGGATCTTTAAAGGCTCTGCAGTCTAGGGTTGATTTTACTGTTGCTGAGCTGATCTGGACACAACTGGAACCTGGACCTGGACATGAAAGACTGAACTGAGATGTTTGTTTAGATTGTAGACAGACCAGTGAGGTTTTCTGGAAACTGAAGGGTTGCTATGGAGACAAGGAGACGTTTGATGTGTAGATGATGTGGAAATAGAAAGAGGAAGTCAATAGTCATCAGTTTGATAAATCCAGGACCAGGTTTGACTGTGTGTGTGTGTGTGTGTGTGTGTGTGTGTGTGTGTGTGTGTGTGTGCAGGTTTCCAGTCTGCATTAACAAACTCCTCCACAAAGCAGCAACTGACTGAACTGTGTGTGTGGATCAGTGACGTCAGAGGTCGGAGGTCAGACACACAGCTCAGCCTGGCACAGTTTTATTTTCTAGG